AAACAATTTAGGTTATTTAGAGGAGAGTCTCGGTGTTCAAATTATTGAGATCTTGGATCCTCTCCCAGTGCCTATCATAAAATGCCTACTCACAGAAATCTGATGGGTAAATAGTAAAACACTGATAAACACTTGAAGAGTTTGCACTGAAAATATATCCATTAAGTACGTTTGACTGAATAGATGGTCCTAACAGCCAAGGACCCACCTGTATAAATAATAAACTATTTCAAGCTGCATTTCTTTAGCTCAACACAATGAAAATATCAATATTTCAGAATTCCATGGATGCTTTTGCCATATTTTATTCTACCACCCCAGTTCTAATAGCATAAGATGTTGTACCTTGACCATTTTAAAAAGTCATCCCTGTCCCTCAGAACATGTTAGTGAAACATTGGGGTTAATCTATATTTTCCATAAAGGGCAGAATAGTAAGTATTTTTGGCTAGCATGCCAGATGGTTTCTGTCATAACCACTCAACTCTGACATTATAGTGCAAAATCAGCCAAACAATAAGTAAACAGATGATTGTGGCAGTGTTCCAATAAAACTTTATTTACCAAAGCAGGCAGTGGGCCAGATTTGGCTTCAGAGCTGCATTCTGTGGCCTTCTTATCCAGAGGATGACTCTTAGTCTATGGACTATACACACCCATGGGCTCTGCAGTTTACAGAAAGCATATTTAAAAGCATAAGGCCTAAGGCAAATGAAAGTGATTCTTGTGTTCTCACCAATCTGTTTCCAAAGAAAGTGGATACTGTTTTTGTGAACACATTTAAAATTGGCTTTGTTTTCTAGTGACTTTCAGTTACCAGGGGTTAAGCAAGCAGTGATCCTCATGAGAAGTTCAACTAAGGATCTACCAGTCTCAGATAATACTGAGATGTCAAAAGGTAGTTTCTTATCAACTAATTGTTCACATACAATTCATGGGCTTCCTTGTCCTGTCTGTTTTCAGTAGTAGAGACTGAGCTCAGGAGTTTGTACATACTTCTTAAGAGCCTTACAACTAAAGTATTTCCTTCTCACATTCCAATATCTTTTCTATTTTATTTTAATTTCAGTTTAAGACAGAATCTCACTAAATTGCCTTCACTGCTTTCAACTCATTCTGGAGCCATGCACGATTTTAACTTGTGGTGTTGATGCACCAGCCTCCTGAACAGGCCCACACCATCAGATCACCGCTCCTCCTGAATCTTTAAAGCTGCTTCTCTCTGGGTCTAAATTATCTTTCCTTTTGAATGAAATATGCTATACTCCTCAGCCCAGGGATCTTCTTCAGGGAGATCTATTACTTGTGCTAAATTCACCCCAATACCAAGGCTTGACAGTTGCATAATGCAGACCCTGATGGATAGTATCTGGCTGATCCTTGCGCTGGGTAAACTTTACAAGACTCCCATGTTAGATTCTGTTCCAGTCACCAGCACAGCGGGATCCTGATTAACTCCCTGATGGGGGAGGCACTGAGCCAGAAAGTCTCAAACAATAGGTGATCCAAACATAATTCATATTTGGCTCAGTAAATGACCTTATTTTGTATCAGGTTTGCCTTCATAATTATGTTTTCCTGCGACTAATATAATCTGTTGGCATGCACCATCTGACAACAGAATGAAATATGTGGAAAGCACTGGAAGGGGTCAGAGAGGAGTGAGGGAAGCTAAAAAATTTCTGTGCGTAGGAACACGCTTAGTTAGAGAAATTTACCTCCTTGGTACACAAAAGTTTGAAGTAGCAATGGCCTTTAAAGTGTATCCAATTGAAATGAGACCACAAGGGATGAGATGGCTTCTAGGAATCACTCAGGTACTGTATATAAAATGATGGGGATGGTGACAACACTGGTAGCACATGAGAATTCTCCTGATCAGCATAGGAAGACCACACTGTCCGTCAAGTGGATCAGCGTCATGCTGCTATAAAAGGGCTAAACGGTCTATTTTTCTGTGCTCTCTGTCATAACTTCTCAAGTTTGCCATTAGGTGAGTGCAGCTGTAAGATACCAAGACTTTATTATGGGTACCAAATTTTGAATTCTGTATAAATTTATCTTGTACAGATGTGGTCTTCTTCTATTAAATTTGAGTTATTAAAATTACAAAGCCAGCAGTTTTAGTTCATTTTTCTGTCCTGTGATCAAACACTGTAGCAAAAGCAACTTCACGAGGGAAGCCTTGGTATATTTGGACTTCTGATTCCAGGGAGATAAATGTCCATTACGGTGGGTAGGCTTGTAATCAAGGGACAGGCGTCGGGCAGGGGCAGTAATCTGGGAGATCACATTTTTAAACGCAAGTTAGAAGCAGAGAGAGTAAACTAGAAGTAGGGAGAGACTACATGGCCAGACCCCCTGACATAATTCCTTCAGTAAGACTGTGTTATTTAAACCTCCCCAAAGAGTGCCACCAAGTGCGATTCACCCATTCAAGTACAAGAGACAGCAAAGGACATTTTCATTCAAACCATCAAACTTAGCAGAACACTCTAAAAACAAATGGCTGGCCAGATATAGTCTTGTAACCCCTATGTTTGCTAAGTCCTGATCTATCTATCAGCTCCTCTATCTTAATTGCTTCTGCATCCTATGTGAACTATATTATACATTTATTTCTCACATTTTACCCCACCATTAAGCTATAAGTTCTCTTCCCGGTAGCTGTGATTTGAACATTCCTGGGATGATACAGCTCTACATATTCAATGAAAGTCGGGGCCTATTGTTAGATGTAAGCCATCGGGAGATTCCCTACACCTCACATCTTCACAGAACAGGAAACTGATAGCAGAAAGGAAATGAGAACAGGCTATCCAACCTCAAGATTTGCCTCTAGTTACCCACTCCCCCTACCCCAGCAAGGTTACACCTTCCAAACAGCACTACCAGTTGTGGACTGAATGTTCAAACATGTGAGACCATGGGGGACATTCTACATTCAAACCATAACATACTCCAAGAGTCAAATCAGAAAACATATTTCCCAGCCCAACTTCTGCCAAACTTGCTGATAGAAGATTTTTTTCCCCTTCTTATGTGATCTGGGGTGTAAAGAAAAGAACTACCAGTGTCTAAGAGAAAATAGATCCTATGGAAAAATAATACATTTTCATTAAATGAAAATTAATCAAATGTTTTCCTTCTTCAATGAACTTTTCCATTGCTCCATTATATAATAAAGTAATAAAGAAATACTTACAAAAACCTATGAAGATGACACTTTGGATAATGTTCTTACACACACACACACACATACACACACACACACACACACACACACAAAGCACTCTCATCAAAATACAAGCTATATTAATTGAGAAAGAGGCTTATTTCAGGCTAGACATGTCAGTTACATCTACATGGACACGAGTAGAGGTTAGAATTTTAGATGATAAGACTTGGAGTTATGGGAACAAATACAAGAAAGCGTTTAGCTAGCCTCATGGGCAGGAAGCCAGACGAGGCTGGGAGAGTTGACTGGACTTTGAATATCAAGCCAGTTTTTGGAAGAACACCCCACAAATACGCCCACATTGGGTTACTTGGTTGAAGCCGCACACAGTCTGACTTGACATTCAGATAAGAACATGTACTTCTTTGTCAAACAGAAGGCTTTAGAGAACCAGAGACTGTGATGCTGTACTTGATTAATAATTAGAATTAGAAGACCAATATATTTGGGTGGAGACCTTGCTGCCACTGTGCAGTGGCCGCATGGGAACCAGATGTTCTATATGATAGAAGGAATCCTGGCAAAGAGTCAGTTCAGTCACAAATCTTTTCCCACAAGCCAAGGTGTACAGAATCTTTCTCTCTCTTTTTTTAATAGACCAATCAACAAATGGGGCTCATCTAGATTCTACTCGCAGGGAAACCTGCATGTGTCTTTTACTGAGCACAGTCCCTGGAGGTTAGAGGTGGATACTTAAAAGGAAATGGTGTCACATTTCAGATAAATCCTACTTAAATGGGATTCCATATTACCTGCAGCACCAAACTGTTGCAGTAAGGAACTGACTTGTCTTTTGTTTTATTATAAATTCACACACTGAGGAGCAGTGGCCAGGTATAAACATCTACTTGCATAACTGAAAGTTGTGATTCCAGAGAGGCAGCTACAGAAAACAGAGCAGCCCAGGACTTGGAACTGTCCACCTGCCCCAAGGCATCTAGGTAACTCGGGGACAGCCACAAGCCTCTGCTGACGTTCATTTTCTCATCAGTAAATTGGAAGGCAATGCCATTTTCTCAGCCTGCTTTATTTGGCATCTGCATATCATAGCCTGAGGAAGGCAAATGGATTTTACTGCACTTGTAAAATCAGATGGGACCATATTAACTTCCTGGGATGCAGAGTTGAGAAGGAGCCTGTGTATGGGCTCAGCAGGAAAGTCAATCATGATCCAGCAATATGGCAGTGACATCTGGCAGGCCTGGCAAAAACGAGAGGAACAGCACAGCTATTTGCCATCCTTGTCTCCAAGATGGACTTTCCCTATGGACCTGCCAATGAAATGGGAGCGGGCACATTAAGATAAAACCTCCTTAAATGTCCTTGTTAATATTAATTCTGAGGTCAAGTATGATGGCACATACCTATAGTCACAAAACTTGAGAGGCCAAGGCAGGAGACTTACTAAGATTTCAAATCTAGTCTTAGCTACATAGTGAACACTAGACAAACTGTCGGGAACCAGCATCTACAAAAATACCTCTCCCCAGGGTAGAGGCATGGGGATTTAGAAATATAGTAAAGGATATGAAGAAGTGAATGAAAATAATAAAAACAGAGAAACATAAAATAGTATTGGGAGGGAATTCCAGTGAGTATTGAAATTTACCCGCATTTAATTTCTGATTGCCTTACTCCAAAAGGTAGGAGTGAGACAAAAGACTGCATTAACATGATACAAGGAAATGAACCTACCAATTGAAAGTGGTGAGCTACATTCACAGTTAAACATTCTGTTGCTAGAACAAAACAAGTCACTTACACACTAGTCCAAAACCTTCTGTAGGCAAACCACTCCTCTGGTTGGAATCCCAGCTTATCTCCATAAAGGGAACTGGAACTTAGTTAGAGCCTTAGACTCTTGTTTGAGGTAGGAACAATCTACTTCTGGAATTCTGGAATACAAGTCACACCTGTTGACAATAACCTTGAGAGAACAGAACTCTGTGGTCTGCACCTAGGTGGGACCTTTGTTTGAGGTAGAAGCACAATAACCTTGAAGAAACTAGGGATAAGTTCCAACTCTCTGACCTTTAGTCAACGTGAAAATAGGCTCACAGTTTCTGGCCTCCACAACAAACTATAGCCATACAGAATGGCCTTGCCCCAATAAACAAAGTCCAAACTTAAACAAGCTGTAAGTTCTGGTATTTATATACTAGAAAGCTTAAAGAACAAATCAGGTTCCCTTTTGTTAACTCCCTGTCTTTGTCAGTACAGGTCCCCCTCCAAGTGGTCCCGAGGCTCTGACTTCAAGTGGTGCTTCAGTCAGGGATCCTGACTTGACAGGTCATCAATAGTCGTTTTACCTTGAAAGTTTCTCATTTTGCTTGGCCCTCATTTAAGTGAAAGTAAGTCTTTAAAAAGAATAACATATCTTCGACATCTAACATAGTACCTGACCCCTACTGGGATGCTTCTAAATACCTGACAGTGAATATCCTGCATTCATTTTATTCCTGGATCCTTTCTGAAAGCTCTGTAGAGATCCTCAGCATCACTGGGAATATGAAGTGATAAGAATTTTCCAGCCAAAGGCAGGCATCAGAGTCTCCTAACACATGGTATATTGACCAAACAGGGGTAAAGTTCAGGGCCCTTGGAAAGCAGGTGCTGACAAGCCCTCAGGCAGAAGTGCCTAATGACCCATTGGGATGTTAAAGCCCCCCTCCCATGATCCATGTACCACTCAGCGAAGCCCTTGTGCACATGCATGAGCTCCCTCCTCATTTGTGTATGACATAGCCATGGCAACCCCCTGTGCGCATGCGCTAGGCAGCTTTTAAAAGCTGGAGGCGCCATCTTCCTCCCTCTCACTGCACATTGACTTCCCAGGCCTGTGCATTCCCTGTCTAATAAACGCCTAAGCAGGTTTGTTGCATGTTCCTTGTTTCCTTCTCACTCGCGCCAGGTAATTTCAATAAGGCTTGGGCCTTGGCTGTTTGGGAGAGTCTGTCACCCCTCAACAAGAATGACAGTAGCAGGAATTGTAAAAAGGAGCTAATGTAAGTGGCATGTTCCCTAAATAGCCAGTTTGACTTCATGCTTTCTGCTTTGGCTTGACATAGGTAGCTGCGCCACAAATCATTAGAGCAAAATTTAGAAATGCTAAATACCTCAGCAAGGGCCCAAAGTACATAAGGTACATGGATCTATTGTTCCAGACCCTTTTTCCTCCATGTACAGTTTTGTTTGCAGGACACAAGATAAGGCCTAAGGTAGGGCACAACAATGAGTTAAGCATAGGTAACTAGAAATAGGTAGATCTGTGATAGTTGAGGTTAACTGCCAACTTGAAGAATCTAAAATAACTATGGAGATTGGATTCTGGACATAGCTGTTGGGCAGTATATTATTGAGGAAAGAATATCTGTTCATTGTAGGCAGCACGATTCCCTGTCTGGGAGGTGGGACTGCAGAAATAGAGACAGAGAACCAAAGAGCTGTACACACTCATCACTCTGTTTCCGGATTGTGGTAATCAGCCTCTTTGAGCCCCTGCTGCCTTGGCTTCCCTCATGACGGACTGTATTCTGAAACCATGAATCAAAATAGACGAAACCTTTTCTCCATTATATTCGTTTTGTCAGAGTATTTTATCATAGTGACAGAAAAAAAAACCTAAGACAAGGTTTAATGAGTCTACTTGTTGGTGATAATCCTGTTTTCTGGATGTTCTGACTGTTCAGTCTGTAACAGTAGTAGACAAAATTTTATATAACTGTGAAGTCTCTGACCCTGGCCACATTTCACTTTCATTACCGTTGTGGAGCACTGGCATAAATAATGCTCAAGAGCCAAAATTCTGCGCTAGGTTTCTTCATTGAGACTTAGCTTCAGAGAGGCAGGAAGTGGCCCATGACTTGTGTGCTTGGATCACTCATGTCTCAGCACTTTAAAGATAGATGACATTCAGACAAGTCACTACTTCTATTGGTTGGTTTCCACCGGAAAGAATTCCGTAGGGACCAGCAAGGATCTGACGGAAATTATGTCATCCAGGCCACTTCTGGCTCTGATGGCCCCACCACAATTGCCTTCCTTTCATTTTTAAGAAGTGCCAGATTCTCACCAACAGCAACGAGGCTGTGAAATGGTCGATGATCAGCAGATATCCAAGTAAGTTACCATCATCCATTCTGATTCATTGTAATCAGTGAAAGTTTAGGTCACACAAGAGCCATCTGTGAAACAGCATCCCCAGATGATTAAAACACTCCTGTACTATGAACATTTACAAATTGAAAATTAATGAGGAAACATGTTTAAAAATTGACTCTAGCTACCCAAGGGTTGGAAAATGCTTTGAAATGCATAAAGAAACCACTTGGCTATGCAGTCTTCCGCAGTGACAAATAAGTTGCATTACTTCTAAAATTCCTACTGTTGAATTAACTTTTCAATGTGTAGCTTATCTCAGCTGCATAGCAACAACATATCTCAAGAAGTATTAATATAAATCATAGCCTCCAATTTCTGTCCCCTAGGCTAATTCATTTTGCATTTTCCAACTCAAGGTAAATGACCCAGAACAAAGCAAAGAGATTCCTCATGAATGAGTAGCAAAACAACAAACAAAATTGTATTCTGCCAATGGGAAGGGTTTATTTGCTGTTAGAGTTCTTCTTGCGCTGGCAGCTGCAAATGCCAGACATTTTACAACATTTTCTACAAAACAGTCTTTCTACAGCATTATCTGGACAACAGGGTATTACAAGCAGGTTTTTACTTAAGAAAAATTTTACTCTGTTTTAAACTATGTACAACTTGGGTCCTTTGAAAGAACAGCAAGTACTCAGCTTCTGAGCCATCTCTCCGGTTTCCCAACCCCAGGTTAATCCTTTTTCAAAGTAGTCTTAGTTTTTCTCCTTTACACTTGCTACTTTGCCTGGAGTCAGGCCTTTTATTTATTAGCATTTGGGACAGAAATCTTGAGTAGAGAACTAGTTCAGAGGAGGAAACTCATTCTCATCCTCTAAAATGATGAATAAAAAGAGGAAGGTAATGTCGGAGCAGGGAACTAACACTTGACCCAGACCAAGTACATGCTTGAGGAGGTTAAAGTGCTCTCGACACATGTTATTGCATTCAGTTCTCCCAAAGTGCCTGAGTGGCAGATAGCCCAGTGCTGCTAAGAGAAAAGAGAAGCACAGTACACCAGTTACCATAATTGCTTAGGGTCAGTGCTGAGACCCTGAGTGGACCCTGCTCAGGTGTATGTATACACTACGCCAGCAGTACTCCATACAAGAGAGTACCAGGTGCACATAAACGCAGGGGATGGGGCAGAGGTTAGATGCACAGACAAACTTGCAAGAAGTCAGAGCAGATAGGCTTGGCAGGTTCCACAAACTAAAATTATTATAAAATTCATCATGTCCTCTACAAATACCATTGTTGATTACAGCCTCAAGTGGTCAGATGTGCAGACAGAAACAATCGGAACTGTTTGGCAGTGCATCTGAAGTGTTGTTGTAAACAGAGGTTTACATCATCCATCCAATAGAGAGGGTATCTTTCAAGAAGAGGCCAGTGCACGAGAGGACTCGGTTTCTGTGTTCTTACACACAGAGAGGAAAGGCCATGTCAGGACACAGCAAGAAAACAATGGTATACATGCCAAAAGAAGAACCTGGTCAGAAGGCAGATTTTCTGACCTTGTGATCCTGTGCAGTTCAGTCTGCAGAGCTGTGAAGAAAATAAGATGGTGTTGCCCTATTTGTACTGTTTTATTATGACAACCTTAGTCAACTAGTTCAGAAAGACTGAGGATCAGGGACATAGAGTAGGATATATCCTGATACCATGTGGGAGAGCAAAAATAAAGACAGTGTCCTACCAACAAGGATATCAAAACCTGAGTCTCCCACCTCTCTCATTTGGGATCAAACCACACTGTTCATATGAGTGAGGACTGGACGTCACATGAAATTGGACACCTCTGGCTTTTACTGTGCCCACTGTGGAAAGGTCTTTGTCCCTGGCACACAGTAGCAGCTCTATCCACTTCTATGGTACACTGAAGACGGAGCATATGAGGAAACAGGGCAAACTGTACTTTCAGGAAAGTTAAACCAAAAACAAACACTGAAGGAATAACTAGCCTCCTTTGCTTTAGTGGAAAGAATTTGAGTGGCAGCAGCATGTGGGGCAGGCAGTTGTTCTAGGACCCTCAGATTCATGGCCCCCTGAACATCCTAACTAACACTAGTTAGAATCTACATGGAAAAGAAACTTATCTGTGAAGGTGGGAAGTGAAGGGAGCAGTAGGGAATGACTCAGCTGCAATACAGAATGATGCCTGTACTAATTACATGGACAAGCATGAACTGAGAAACAACTTGCACTAGGCATGATCAGAGATTTGTGAAAGCAAAATCCTGCACAAAGGGGTTGGGAAAAACCTCAGTTGGGAAGTGTTTATCATGCAAGCCTGAAGACCTGAGTTTGTCTCCAGCATTCCAATAAAAGGCAGAGGCATCGGTGTGCATCTGTAACCCCAGTCCTGGGAAAGGAGAGTTAGGGGATCCTGGAGCCTGCTAGTCAGTCAGTAGGGCTTAATCAGTTACCTTCAGGTTCAAAGAAAACCCTGTCTCAAAGAGAAAGGTAGACAGATTTTGAGTAAAAGATACAACGTTCACTTATGACTTCCACATGAACATGTAAGCATACATGTGCATGCACACCACTTATTAGGAAATTATGTGAGACCCGAGTGAATTGAACAATCACAGACTCAAACATAATCAGCAATCAGGAGTAATAATGTGTAGAATATTTCCCAGTGCTTTAAGAAACCAGTAGCCATCCAGCCTAAATTAGGAA